TCGAAGTGTTTAACTTTTACTTTTAAACGATCTGGCCCTTTGGCAGTCTGTTAAGTTGGCTGCATCAATTGTAAAGCTTGTTAAGTTGGCTACATCAAAGAACTTTAGCTTTTTTAAAGCTAAATCCATAATCGAACTAAGACGTAGTTGTATACATATTTAAAATACCTGAACAATTCGACAATCCTTTGTCTTTTGTTAATTTAGACATGGTTAAAGTCAACTTGAAGCTTGAAGACAAATTAATTATTATTTTTATAGCATGAAATGAAACAATATTATAGCTAAAACTCGTTAAGTTTGATTAATTTAAGCAAATTATTTTGCAAAAAGAGTTAAGACTCTTTTACTTTTTACTCAGCTTAGCCAAGTTCCAAGTTGTTGTCGGGTTATTAAGCTGAATTCATGGCCAATTTGCGTTTAAGACTTTTCGTAAGATGGCTTTTAGCAGCTTAAGTCTTAGTCACGGCAATGGGAAAAGTCACGTTCTGAGTCACGCGCGGCAGGAATCGAGAGCGGCAAGCAGAAACAAAAGCTGCCTAACTAAACACGTAATAATAATAGTATGAAAATAAAACTATTAGTCACAATTAAACCATAAACGAATTGGCTAATTGATAGCGTTGTAAGCTAATTACTTAGCCGCTTATCGTAAAGGCCACGTAGACAAATATTACGTATACGCAACGATGCATGGCTAAAAACAAAGAGCCAAATGGTAATGCCAAATGAGTGTGTGTGTGTGTGTGTGTGTGTGTGTGTGTGTGTATGTACTCTCGCTTAGTACTTGACTATGTAGTTGACATTATCAGCAAACATCGATCTCCATGCGCCGCCTTATCAAACTTATGTGGCATACGCTGATATGATTCATACACTGCGACAAATCATGCATTTCGTAGCTAAAAATTTGACTTGTTAAAGCTAAAATAGTTTTACCTAATTTAAGTGAAAGTGAAAGTCATTTTGAAAAAATTGAAAATAAATTATAATTATATTCTTGTTTTTTCTCTTTTTTAATTTTTTAGTTTTTTAATTTTTTTTATTTTTTTTTTTCAATTATTTTTGTCTTAAGTTTTTCTTATTTTTTATTTTTATTACGTAAAAATAAGAACTTTATTCATTTAAAAATTTTGCTTACAAATGATTATTTCTAAATTTAAAATATGTTAAATATTTTTTGAACTTTTCATGATTTTATCGGTTCTTGGGCATTTCATCTTAGGTTCATTTAAGAAATAGCCATTACGAAAGTAGTAGGAAAACGTTTATGTAGATTTTTTGCAAATAGTTCAGATAAAGAAACATCTTTTCGCTGTGCACATAATGTGTCTCGTCGTATATAGTATGTTCAGAGTACATGCTACGATAAGCACACGCATCGGGGAATGCAATTATGATTTGCCATGGTAATTAAACAGTCAGCGAGTCTGTCTGGCTGTCTGGCTGTGGGTCTGTCTAGTTGTCAGTCAGCCAGTGGGTAGTAGATGACATAAGACAGTCGTTTGGGTGGGGACACGGTTCGCCAAGTTGAGAAGCTAATGATGGTCTCCACTCTAACTCTAACCGACAGGTGCTTAAAGATGTCATTGTCCACGCTGGCGTTGGAGTTGTTGGTGCGCAAACGTTGCTGGCTGCTCGTTGCGCTTGCCGCGCTGCTAAACTGCGGCTGTCATTCGGTGTGGGCCTTGCCACAAGGTGCACCGGAAACGGTGTGCGACACAATGCTGCCGTTCCATGCCGGCGGCTCGGTGCTGCCAGAGAATAGCGTCTCGCCTTTTAGCGTCGAGACGTCCAGCTCGGTCGTCGGCCAGGGCCAGACGTTGCGCATCGATGTGACCGGTGCGCCGGCGGGTCTCAGCTTTGGCGGCTTCATGATTCAAGCGCGCAATCGTAATCCCCCCTACCAGATTGTCGGCCAGTTCAGTCCCAGCCGCGACGGCACCGTCAAGCTAATGAACTGCGAGAACTCCGTCAACAACTCGGCCACGCACAGCAATGCCGGACCCAAGCCCCAAGTCAGCCTCGACTGGCAGTCGCCGGTCGACTTCCTCGGCCAAGTGGTGTTCAAGTAAGTGTGATTACTTATAATGATGTATGAGACTGTAAGTCCTAACTGATTGACTGATTGACTGATTGAAAAACGTAGCTCAATCGGGGCTTTTATAAGTGAGAAGTAAATGTTATTAAACGACTTTGAGTAACTGATTTCTATATTAATGTTTTTGATTGACTGATTGATTGACTGAGGGATTGATTAACTGAGTTATTTACTGATTGATGCATGTAGCTCGACCTGCTTTTCTTAAAAGCTATTAGTGAATGCTACAAAATAGTTGTTCATGATTGACTGACTGATTAGCTGCATGATTGACTAAGTGCTTGACTGACTGATTAGCTGCATGATTGACTAAGTGCTTGACTGATTGAGGAGTGTAGCTCAATCTAGATTTCAATAAGAGAACGGAGCTTTCATGACTGTGTGATTAATGGACTAACTTATTAGCTTACTGACTGACTGACTGCCTGATTAGCTGAATGATTGACTGAGTGCTTATCTGATTGATGAATTTAGCTCTGTTTTGATCTCTTATAAACTATAAGGTTATGCTGGAATACGAGTTTTTATGACTGAGTGATCGATGGACCGCTGTTAGCTAACTGATTGACTAACTGACCAGCTGAATGATTGACTGATTGATAAGCTTTGCTCCGAATTGTTACCTTAATACTAGAGACCGAAATACTAGAGACTCCGCTCAACTTATATGTATATGGAATAGGAATTGCTGATTGCTTGACAGACTGATTGATTGATTGATAATAAAATCATATAAGAATTACAAACTTCTCTCTACCCACACACTCTCGCTGTACAGCGCCACAGTTGCCCAATCGTACAATCAGTTCTGGGTGGGCATACCCTCGAATCCTGTGCAGGTGGTGCGACGTGATGTATCGGCAGCTGCACCACTACCCACGCCCAGTGCGCCCAATAACAACAACTTTAACTATGCCAGCACGCGTTCGCCTTATGTGCCGCCCAGCTACGTGGCGCCCAGCGCGGTGGCTGCCAGCGAGGATAGCTTCTACGATGGCTGCGGTCAGAGCAAGAATTGCTTTGGCTTTCCCAACGGTTGTGTGGCCACCAAATCGTGCACCTCCGTCTCGGCGGTGACGGTGCGTGGCGATATCTATGAGTTTGAGCTGCGCTCCGGTAAGGGTAAGTGGAGTAGCTACCCAATCTCAGAAAAATCGTGAATGCATCCTTTGCTTTCCAGGCACCAATGCCGCCTATGTGGCGCTCGGTCTGTCGGACGATGCCAAGATGGGTGAAGATCTGACCACGGAATGTGTGCCCGAGAATGGACGCATCAATCTGTACTCGTCCTACACCTCGGCGAGTCCCTACAGCGCCGTCCGAGCCAATGTGGTAGGTGCAGCTGCAGCAGCTGGAAGTATTTGACTTTTAACATTTGAATTCTTTGCCTTGCAGCCTCAGAACTCGGCGCGTCTGTTGAATGCATCGCTGGTGGATGGCGTCATCTATTGCAAGGTGCAGCGTGAACCGCTCACTGTGGTGCAGGGACGCAGTTTTGATCTGAGAAATGGCGCCTACCACATGCTCGTCGCCTCGGGCAGCAGCCTGAAGGAGAACAGCGTCGGCTATCACGATATTGGTCGCCTGCCCTCGGGCAGTCCCATCAATCTGGCCGTCGTTCAGGATGTGGGTGGCTCCAGCCAGCTGCTGGTGCGTCTGCATGGCGCCTTTATGATCGCCGCCTGGATTGGCACCACATCGCTGGGCATCATCTTTGCACGCTACTTCAAGCAGACGTGGGTGGGCAGCCAGACCTGTGGCAAGGATCAGTGGTTCGCCTGGCATCGCATGCTCATGGTCACCACCTGGACGCTCACTGTGGTCGCCTACATTCTCATCTGGGTGGAGCTGAAGCGTGCCGTCTGGCATGCTCACTCCATAACGGGCATGATCACGGTCCTGCTCTGCTTTATACAGCCCATCGGAGCGCTCTTCCGCCCCGGCCCGAATGACAAGATGCGTCCCTACTTCAACTGGGGCCATTGGCTGGGCGGCAATCTAGCACACATACTAGCCAGTAAGTACATATATATATAACCTATATGAAACATAACTAAACTTCGTTTCAGTTGTTGCCATTTTCTTCTCTGTAAAGCTGCCCAAGGCGGAGCTGCCTGAATGGATGGACTGGATACTGGTTGGGTTTGTGGTCTTCCATGTGCTCGTCCACCTCATATTCTCCGTAAGTACCAGCATGTGGGTGTGCGTGTGTGTGAGTGTAGGTTGGGGTCCCTTCTATCACATGTCCCAAGAGCTGTATATACATAGCTAGAGTTTAGTGTGTTTGTCCCTCGCATCGACCGTTGTACAGCGATTGTTGTTAAATGTTCATTCATTTTGATACTAATTCATCGCATGCATCGTCTGCCCGAGTGAGCTAGTGGCTACGTCCAATTAATTTGTAGATCTATTTGTGCATGAATCATTGGCAGATATCGGGCATCGCATCGGACCGCCAGCAGAGCCAACGCATCAACACATTCCAAATGGGCGACATGACCCACCATCATCAGCACGCCATGCGCAATGGCATGAGCATGGAACGCAAAATGGATGCGCCGGTAAGTGCGAAACTCCATCTCTCTAAAGCAAATATCTCAACTCAATCTTCTCTTGCAGTATGCGGGCCTGCGCAAGGGTCTGCTGGGCGTCTACAGTGTTGTGCTTATCCTGTTCGTCGTGGTGCTCATTCTGCTTGTGGTGCTGGCGCCCATTGAAAAGCTCTTCGAGTAGATCAGCCAACCAGGCACCGAGCCAGCCAGCTAGGATTAGATAACCGCTTAACAATCTCTCCGCTTTTATGCTCAATTGTTTTTGATCATATATTATTTTTTTACAATATGTAGCTCGTTTCCGTTTTATGTTGTTATGTGTAAATTAAGCGCAAAAAAGTGTAACGTTTCAGTACATGTTATATAATTTATTATTGATAATGTAAAACAAGCCAACTTAAATGCGTTTTCTTCAATGCTTATCTAACGCTAACTCTATTTAGAGAGAGATGTTGAGTGTGTATTTGGGTGTGTGGGTGAGGGGTGTAGGTAGATAGGGGGATCGCGAGGGGCAACATACATACATATACTTGCAGCTTGTGCTACTATTGCTGCTTCTTTTATTTTGAGTTTTTATTACTTTATATTATTATAGTTGTAAAAAACTTTCGCTCTTAATTTGCAGCTCTTCTAGATGATGCTAAATATGCTTATTTCATTTGATTTTTGTTTTTAGGTTTTCTCAACTGATTTCTTGCTGTTGTTGTTTTTGTTTCTTCCACTATTTAAAATTAACATAAAAATACAAGACTAATTTTTTTCACTTATTAATGCAAAACTTAAACCCAATAATGTAAACGAACGCTTAAAAACTCAAAACGAACAGAATCAGAATTAGTTATATCATAAGCATAATCAAAATCAAAATCGCTCCTCCAATATAACCGTTTCCTGCGGATATAGTTTGAGCGTTTCCAGCGTTTGACCAGCGTCTATGGATGTTAAATCGCGTCTCGGCCAACTGCTAATAACCTTGTACTCGTCGATCAAAAAACCGTTGGCGGTTACAAAGTTCAACAGATCCTGAAGCAGAGTACATTTATATAATATATATATATATACATAATTCAAAGGGCAAGCCTCACCTGCAGAGTATCCCGCGTGAAAAATCGACGCTCCAAAAAGTCTCCAGTTGGCTTGCGAACGCGTATTTTGGAAATGTTTGCTTCTTGCTCGGCAGGCTCCAGAGGTAACGATTGTGTAGCCTATCATATGGATTACGCAATTAGCACATCATATATATAGCGTATATTAGTTAGTTTTACTTACCACTAATCTTATGGACTCGCGTCTAGCATCTTCTTCGGCCTGTTCAGATTCAATGCGTTTACGTTCGGCTGCCTGTGCGGCCTCCTTTTGGCGTTTAGCTGCCTCTTTGGCCATATCCGCTTGTAGTGTCTCCTCATATGCCATATCCTGCTCAGCCTTCACCTGATCGCGTGCAGCCCGCTCATTCTCCTCACGTATCTCGCCCTGCAGCTGCTCCTCATACATGACCGTTGTCTCAATCAGACGCGATTGCAAATCCCCCAGACCAATGTTGCCTGCGATCAAGAATTTGTTATACTGCTACTAACAATTAGTTCAGGTGAGCAAATTACCATGAATCACAGATAAGACCTCGCACGTTTGTCGGCCCATAAGACGGCTCTTGCCAACTAGCATTAGGGCGGGCAGCTTGTCAAGTTTAATATTTCTGGCCGTTAGGGAAGCATTGCTATTGATGCAGGCCGTCAACGAGGACAGAAACCTGCAGTAAGAACAAAATTCTATTAATATCTCAATCAACTAATCCTCCCGACTCGTATGCCTACATATCTTTGTTGCTCTCGTACGTCATGTCCCAGCCATATAGCACAAAGTTCTCTTTGAATGTTTGTATGATGGCCTCGTCCTTCATGAGATGATCACAGAATACATTTGTGAGTATGCTCTCGCCGTGATGTAAATAGATGGCCAACAATTTCCGCTTAAAATACAAATTCAATTTACATTTAGTTTCAAAATGTTCAAAGCTCATTTAGACTACCTCCTTGGCGGGCTTGTGACAGGCCAATCGCAATGCGTTCTCTAAACTGCCCACATAAAACTCGGGATGTGGATCGCCGAAACGTTGTTTGTAATTATCCACAAATTGTGAGGAACCACTTGTCTCATCGTTCGTGTTGTTGGGTACTGCAGTAGAAACAGCAGATAAATTAAATAATTGTTTAACTGTGGTTTGGCCTGGACTTACTTAGATGTCTGTTGAGCGGTTGCACTGGCGGCGAATCTGAGAATATGTATTCCGAATTATTGAAGTCTGTGGCGTCCTCAAACTCATCAGCTGAACTCTCGCTGTCGAGGGTTACGATTTCCCTGTAGAGGAATATAAAAGGTTCAATACATGTGCACTAACTAAATATTTTTCATTGTTTTCTCATACGTGTTGGCCAGCAAATTGGAATTATTTGACGTCCGATCCGCAATGTTGCGCATTACAAAATCGTGCGTTTGCTCAATGCCCGATTGCTGTGATTAATAGGTAAATAAAGTAAATAATTATATATACTATATATAAGCATATGATATCATATAATATAATAATGCAAAACACACCGCTAAATTGGTATCATTATCACAACCGCTCGGCCAGCCGGACCATTCCTGATGCCTAACTGGTATACTGGTAATGTAGTAAACATTCGTTTTCAGTTCTTGAATGGTGGTGCGTCCTGGGAAATTAAGTGTGAGCCTGCGTGCCTCTGTGCCGCCCTCTTCCACAATATGCAGTTTGTACATCTTATCCAACCGCTGTGTTACCTCATCTCTGTTAAATATATCAAAATCAGTTGAAATTTGACTGTGCTGTGGGGCTGTGCTCGCTTACTGCTCGGTGTCCATGAAACCATCATCGGTTATATCAACAAGTATGAGCTCGCTGACGGGTGGTAAATCTAAATTGCCTAACTGGGTCTCTGGTATTTGTGCATCGCTTGCTCTGGACGGCGGCCAGCCGCGTAAAGTTTGACGGCATTGTGGCACATCGGTCACATCAAAGATCTTGCGTTTCAATTGTTCTGCAGATGGATAGAAAATTGGATTGACATTGTAAACCTGGTGACTAGTCATGCACTTACCTATGGTTGCGTTTGGCTGCATGCAAATTTTATAGAGTTGTTGGTTGAAGTGTATATTGAATGTTAGGATATTTTGGTTATTATTCTGCCTGGGTGGATCCAAGTTGATGCTCGATGTCAGCTGGGCCAGCAGTTGAGAGGCTATAATATACATTTATGTATGTGTATATAGATTTACAGTGGCTAATTCTAGTCTCTACTCACTTGGAAACAGGCGGGCACCCTGCGAGGGTCCGGGCAGCTCGTCGAAATTAAATGACCTGAAGCCATTGGAATTTGATGGCGCAGAGGCGACTGCCACGGCCACTGGATCTGGTGCTGGGGGCTCTGGAGTGTGTATGGGATTGGCCAGTGGCGCATCATCGTGTGGCATGACACGGCTGAGTGCCTCCTGCAACATGCAAGACACGAGACAACAAACAACGCAATTAAATTGATACGCATTTTTATACTATATGACGCACTTACCACTAGATCCCAATTGGATGACTCCAGATGGGAGAAGGCCTCACCAACATCCTCTATTCCAGTTATGATCTGTGACATTGAGATTCAATTTAGTTTTGTTTGCATTTAAAATTATTGCAAGTCCAAGACGCAGACACCTACACACACACACACACACAAGCACCCCTCATTTGCACACACACACGCATTGAGACACACACAACATACGCATTGGAAATGTGCGCACTCAGCACTCGTTTGGGCCACAAATAATAACAGAAGTTTGCAGCGTCTGATGGTTAATCGATGTTGCATTCCTTACCTGGAAACTGGCCAATGTTTCTTCTTTGTCCTGGTTGTCCGACATTAGTGTATTTAATTAGTATTTCGAATTAAACTAAAGTACTACTAATTTTCACAAAGAAAAGACAAAAGACAGTCTGATGTAAAAAACATTCGCCTGTTAACGCAATGTTAACACATGTATGAGCCTGTTAACTTTCGGTGTGGTACGCAGCTCACAAAAACAGCTTGGCCAATGGTAGCAAAAGACGTGTCTCGGCTAGGCGCATACAACAAATTATTTTACACAAATTATTAGTCGAGTTTGTACTTTTTTTTTTTTTTTTTGCATTATATTACAAACACATTCAGTCAAGCTGCTTGAATCGAAATGTTCTTTTTTGATCAATTTAAATGCAGCTATTCAACGGAAATGTTATTGCTCTTGCTCTTTACACAGCTGAGCTGCGTACTTACCAGCAGCAGTTTTGTGATGGTAACAGGTCATCGATAACAATTTTCCAGTGGTTTACGTTTTCGATATTATTATCGACGATAGTTCAGGCGCGTAAATTTAAAATATCAAATGCACATTGGAAGATGATTATTAATAATTTTAGGCAAAAGAAATTGTTTTGATTGTACATAAAATGCTTTTGATTGAACTTTCAAATTACATATTAAAAAGCCAACACTATGCTCATATATATGTGCTCACTTCAGCAGAGTAGTATTTATTTAACTTCGTCCTTAAGTCCATCAATGTAATGTATTCAGTTTTAAATTGTGATTAATATGCGAAACTTAATATTGCGCACCAGTGCGACCGCCCACTAACTCACTCGATATACCAAACAGGCGCTCAACGCTGAACGCTCAACGCCTACGCGTCGCACCGAACAAATATCAGCCAATTAATCTTCATAAAACGAGTGAAATCAAAGAACTGAATGCGATGTGATTTCGATGAGACCAGCAGTCGAGTCCGGCATAGATGCCAACTGGCGCTCCGTACAACATGTTGCTGTTCGCTAATATTTGTTTGAAAATTGCAACACTTGCCACAATTTGTGGCATCCTCAGCCAGTTGCAAGTGGCTGGTGCCGCAGCACCAGCCGGATCCGTGCAACAATTGCCGCAACGCATCTACAATTTACTCCATCAATTATCCTGTGGCAGGAAACTCAATGCAAGCGCCAAGTTCGCATTGTTGTTGGCCGAATTTCTGATAAAACGTGAGCCCAATGAACTGTGCACACACACATATATACATAATAATGTGTATGTGTATGTGAATGTGTGTGTGTCATAAATAATCATTAATTTCGGCTTATGCCGCATAATTTTACAGAGAAAATGAGATACATAACGCCCACACGCTACGATAGACAATTATATTATCAACTGCTGCATAAAATGAAGCAGCTCGGAAGCTGCGCGAGCCAGGGCGAGATTAATCAAGTGCAAGAGCTAAGTAAATTTTTAGAAAAACAATTCCATATTTGATCTCACAATTCCCACATCTATTCCACTCAGTTCTGCGAAATGCCTTTCAGCGCAATGTTTTGCTTCTGCCGCCCAACTTGAAGTAGGTTTCCATGATTTAATCGCTAAGCACTTTCATCTTCATCTCGGGTTCACTTCTCCTTCTGGCAGATATGGCGCACTGAACGCGAACGCCGAATACGAGCAGTTGGCTTTGAGCTATGACAGCCTCGTCAGCCAGGGTGCGCCGAACAGAACCCAATCGGATCTCTGCATGCGGGATATAGTCAATCTGGATACCAGCAAGTGTCAGCTCAGCCTGAACTGCCTGGAGCTGCTGACCAGCGAGGCGCCAGCCTATGGCTATCAGCGCACTCATCAGTGAGTACTTGAGATATGTTTGCATTAGATGTGTGTATGGGCTAGACATACCCTGTAACTATTGATGTTATCTGTCATACTTCGTAATTACATAATTATTTTGCACTATTTACAGGGTATATGCATGAGTAAATGAATAAATTATTGACTTGGCTGTTCTATTGTTGCTAATCTAGCGTATATACACCTAATAGAGTCAGATATATGTGTTTTAGTTACTTTTTATATAAAGCTTTCCCTTTTCAAAACTTACAGGGTATACACATGCATAGAAATGTTACAGTAAAGAACTCTGTAACAATATTTTGACTTGATAGCGAAGGATAACCAACTTTGCCCTATTAACAGAAATTTTTTACCTTGCACATTCTTTACAGGGTATATATTCAGTACGAATATGATATACAACTGTATATATAACACCACTTTCACTTCAATGAGTCAAATGAATCGTAATATAATTCGTTTTCCATTTTCAAATTTTACAGGGTATTCAAATGTATAGTAAATTGTACTATAGTGCCATATAGTTAACTCATACTATAACTATATAGATACTAGAGACTTTTATCGGTTTTTCGTACTTTCATATCATGCCGTCTCTCAATAATCACAGGGTATTTAGCTTATTAAATATAATATCCTAATGGACTCGATTGCTTTATAGGGCACTTCTGCTCTACATGCTGCAGCATCATATATGTGCGCCGAGCTTGAGTCCGCCCCAGCTATACGAGGAGCTGGCGAAGGGCCATTGCAATGAGATTTTAAGCGAACAAAATGCGATACGCAGCTTGGCCCTGGGTCTCGGCAAGTACAAGGATCTCTATCTGGAGCAAGGTAAATGCCATAGGCATCAGTCGTATATGGAGATATAGAGCATTAGATAATGATTAATTGCAGCTACAATCTGCGGTCTGTGGGGCTACAATGAGTTCCTCAACTGGCGCAATGTGATGGAAATTGACAGCTGGCGGAAGGAGGAGGAGCAGCAGGAGGGGGAGGAGGAGGAGGAGAGGGAGCACATTAAGGACTTGTCGCTGGTGTTCTACATAAATGCGCTGCTGCTGCTGCATTAATGCTGATGTAATTTACTGCTGCTGCTGCTGCTGCTGCTGCTGCTGCTGCTGGCGTTGCTTTTGCTGCTTTTCTAATAACTGCTTGATAACTGAATAAAATGCGGCTTCATTGCTTTGACGATGTGTTGACAGGACAAGCAGTTAATACTTTTGTTATTGAGTTGCCAGTGTGTGTTGCAGTTGTTGTTGTTGCTGGTGGTTGTTGTCAGGTGGCGACACATTTGTAATGTGACACATTAGTTGCGCCTGGCTGACGTCTTGATGGATGCGGCGCGGGCGGCACGGCAACACTTTCCATTACAAAATGCTCGCATTGAAGTGGAATACTAATATTTGCGCTGACATACTCGAGCAGGAAGAGCCAGAGACGGTGGAGGAGGAGGAGTAGGAAGAAAACATGGAAGCCAGCCAGGAGCTTGGCTCTTGGATATTAATGCCTCATTTGCTGCAAGTGACGAACTGGGGCGGCAGTTGCAGCACCCACTAAGCCTTGCACAAAAGACATAAAGCACACACACACACTCGAGGAGAGAGGGAGAGTCACACACAGAGGCATTCACTCTTGCACCCACACACACAGTCAGTTGTCTGTGTGCCATGTCATGGGGTTTGCCCTTTTGGCCAGGCAAAGCCGCTGGCAAAGGCAAAGGACTTAGCAGCGCATTGTCAAAGGGTCCACGAACGGTGGGCGGGCCCGGTCATTAGCAAAGTTGACTGTCAGTGCAGCAACAACAACAGCCAAAACAACAGCAGCAACGAGCGCACATGGTCAAGTCTCAGTTACACTGCCCACAGGAGCTACCAGCCTAAGCTGTCGCCCACTCTTCTATATTATTTCTTTTGTCATTTTCAACAACAACAACAGCAACAGCAACAACCCTTGCAACCTGATCAGCTGTCATTGCTGACTTGCTGCCCATGGCCCTACGTCTCGTCCTTTTTAAAGGGCTTAAGCATGTGTATATGCAGATGTATATGTGTATGTGTGCGTTCAAGTGTCGATTGCCTGCTGGTAGGTGTTTATTGTGATGTTAAGTTTGCTGGCAAAAACAGCAACAACAAAATGTTGTTTAACATAGCGCCGCTGTCACTGGCGCTGACAGCTCTTGGAGCGCTGTTGTTGTAACTTGAGCCCGGAATGTTTGGCATGTTTCAATTTCATTACGTTTCATGCGCATGCGCTTTAGCAAATGCGCTCTCTTGGATAGAAGGTGGCTGTTGAGTGTATGGAAGGAGGTAACAGCAGCTCCAGACTACAAAACAGGGCTGTCAACACAGGTTAGTAGTTATTATCCTGATGTGCTAGACACATGATATTAACGATTTCTGTAGCTAACTATAAAATAAATATAATACAATTAAATAAACTAAATGTTGGTGCTTTGATTATTCCCAAACAAATTATTAAATTTTAATTATTATTAAGTAATTGCTAATTATTTAAAATTGTAGGTATGTTGACTACCCTAAACCACCCTGACGCTGCTTGTGTTCGTTCATATTTGGCGCCTCTTTACATGCTCGGATAATCAACTAGCGAATACTACGAACGCGATTTGGGCACTTTAAGACCAACAACAACACCAACTGTCAGACTCTCTGGGTAAGGTGTTTCACTTGCTGTTGTTGTTGTTAGCACTCTTCTTGCTCTCCACTCTGGCTGAGTTTCGCTTCGTTCCAATCAGCTACGGCTTCGATACGCGCAGTAGTCTCCCGTCAATTAGAGTGTAAAAACGTAAACGCTCCATAGAAACGGCTATCGGAACGGTGCCGCCACAGAGACAATCTTTCGCAGGATACAACCAAAATATAACATATACACACACACGCGCAACAACAACAGCTAGTTGGATACGAAAAAAAGTTAAAACAAAATAAATATATTAAATTTGCATACAAAAATAATGAGGTGTCGAGTGTAAAGAAAAAAGTCGCCTGTACAAGAGTCAAATGTGCAATGTGAAAGACAGCATAAAAGATTGTGCGTGTGTGTGACCGTGTACGTGTGTGAGTGCGTGTGCTTTGATGTAAATACCACGAAAATCGCTGAACGCCGAAAATAAAGCAGCAGAAATCAACGAAGACGAAGACGACGTCGCCGTCAACGAGGCGGGCGCTCGCCAAAAAGCAAAGCCAATACAAGTGAGTAGTAAACGTTGTTGTTGTAGATGGAGAAACGAGGCGAAATGAAATAATGGAAATTTATGTTGGGCAAGCAAGAGCACACTTTAAAGTGCCACTTGGCTACTAAGCAGCGCAGCGGGGCTGCGAGGGGCGAATTAAATATAAGAACTACAGTTGTACTGTGAACGTATGTCTGTATGTATGTGTGTTTGCATTTCTATATATTATATTTGGCAATTTTGCCTGCTGGTTGCACTCAAAGAACGCATTCGGCCCGGGCAATGTTCGCTATGTTGACGTTTTTCTCGCTCTCTCTCCCTCTCTCTCTTTTGCTCTCTGCCTTTCTCTCTTACACTCGTTTGGCAACTTCCATATTGCAGTCAGTCAAATGTCTTTGATATAATGTCGCCCAGCACTCACTCACACATACACACGTACACTAACACAAAGTTGCGGCTGCAATAGCCACACACACAAACACACACGCACGTCACGTTCTGTTGCTGCTACTTTTACATTACACTCAGCTTGAGTATCCTGTATGCGTGTGTGTGTAGCTTCTTTTGTTTTAGTCCTTGCTTGAAATTGCTTTCTGCTGCTGTTTGCTTTTGTTGTACAGCTCAGCGCGACGTCTTTGACAGGGCGCAAGTAATATGCGCACCTGTGAATTTGCCATAAATTAGGCGCAAGAGACGCGCTCACACACACACATTTATATACGCACGGACACACACAGACACAATTTTATACATATACGCATGTCAAACGTTAAGAATTTAACAGCAAAAACGCGCGCCAAACTTTTACGTTATGTTTATATATATGTGTGTGTGTGTGTGTATGATTGCGCTGTTACTTGGGTCAGTCTGTCATGCGTAAATTGCTCTGCCCGAGCAGCCCCCAAGGAGCGCCTCTCACTCCTATCGAACTGTCCCTCTGTTCTGTCTGGCTGTTCAGTTCAGTTTCTGTTTTCTGTTTGTATTTTGTGGTCTGCCTTCAATTGGCTCTCAGCGGGCTTTGCTCTATTTACCTTATAAAAACACAATTTATTGCTGCTTTAACGATTTTTCTTTTGCGGTTATTTTCTGTTAGCTGTTTGTTGTTGTTGTTGATTATTTGGCTGCTGCTACCGCTGCGGCGGCTGTAGTTTTGTCTGTTACAACATTTCTCTCTTTTTTTCGCTCATTGACTTTGATGCTCCCTGTTTGTTTTATTTCTTTGTGCTGTGTGTGTGCGTATATTTACTGTTCGCTTTTCGTATTGGCTTTGGGTATTAAGTTTTGCGTGACATCAACACAAAAAATCATCAGCAAAACAAAAACTACAACAGTAGCACAAACAGTTTCCACTCGTTGGAGAGGCTAGGATATAATTTGTGCTGTGTTAGCTGTTCGCTGCTGGTTGCTGGCCTTGTTATAGTTTTAAATCAATAATTTATACTATAGAACAGCCAGCATATAATGTAGGGTTTGGGTTTGGGTTTGTATTTTATTTTGTTTGCTTATTTCAGCTAATCAAGTTGTAGTTTTGGTTCTTTGTACAGTAGATATAATAGACAATGGGTCCTTTATGCGATTTAGGTCACAGTTAGATACGTATGCGTACACACATGTTCACTAGCACACTTATATATGCTAATGCTGTTAAGCTGACGTTTTGTTAATAGTATCATATGAACCTAAAGCTGAGGATCGGGAAGGGAGAGAGCGCAAGAGCAAGAGAGTAAGAGAGTTTCCCGCAGAGTTACTTAACAGAGTTACTTAACAGAAAAGCTGTATGCTAACCAATACAGCAGCTAGAAAGCAATAACATTGTCTAAGCAGAACCTTAGTGGTGGGAAGGAGAGAGAAAGACAGATAATTGCAATTAAAGAGTTGAGCGTAAGTGTCGTATGGTCTTAGCAGTGCTGTTAAAGACTTAAGTGTGAGACTTATCAAGAATGTTATGCAACAAAGAATTTTTACATTGACATTTCGAAATCTATAAGAGTTAATTAGAAGAACAGAAAAAGGAGCTTTTAGGTAAATTGCTTTTAGATATGAATATTTAATAGCAATTGTTAAAAAAATACTTTTCTGTAATTAAATAATAATAAGATAACAGCTAGTGCACAAATTAGCTATGTAGCAGTACAAATTTAACATCACTGTCAAGTCTTATATAACTGCTCAATCGCTTTGCATTTCGTATAGCATTTGAACAATAAAAACGTATTTCTGCCACAAAATCAAGTTTTGTTGCCACTAGTTATGATTCTTACTGTGGCACTCAAGTGAGCTTCAATTGCCCAATTGTCATTTCTTGTTGGCCAACACTTCCGTTTGGTTGTTGAAGAAAAACAACAAACAATATTATGAAGTTACGTTTTTATGTGCGTGTGTAAGTTTGGTGAGAACTTTCGGTCAAACTGTCATAAATATTTGGCCAGATCTTGGTTACAATCTCAATAATTGAGTGAAAAGTAGAGAGTGGAACGGAAGAGGTGAAAATAATAAAATTAGACAAGAGAGCGGAACAAAAGAATTGAGAACGGAAGGAAAATTTAATGAATAATAAAATAATAATACAATGAAAACAGAAAGAAAGAGAAGCAAGAGATAAGTAAGAGTAGATGATAAGTGTAGAAAGTGAAGAAATAAGAACGGGCAAATGAATACAAATATAGAAAAGCACATAAGATATGCGAAGACTTAAGAATGAAGCATATGAGAAGCTAAGAGTAGAGTATAGAGATAAGACAAGACAACAGAAGAACGAAAGAGAAGTTAAATGTAAAGATGAGATGAGAAGAGAATAATAAAAAACCAAAATGGAAGAAGATGAAAAATAAAGATTGGAAAACAAAAGAGAAGAGTGTATAAGCGAGAGTAAAAGAGATGCGAAGAGTATAACAAATAAGAGAAGATTGGAGCGAAGAAGAGTGGATAAGACAAAAGTAACATATGGAAGATGGGAATAGAAGGATAGCGAAGAGGAGAATTAAGAAGAGAAGAAAGCAAAAGCTAAAGAGGAGAAGTGGATAAAGCAAATGAAGATAAATGAACGAAAGACAAGCAATAGAAGAGAGGAGAAAGTCACTGAATCGTAGCATACTTTTGAGTTAAATCGATTTGAGAGTGACTCTTGCAGCATTTTCATTTATTGTGCATTAAGATAGATAGATGATGAGCAGGATAATTGTGTAATTAAATCAATGCCACTCGACGTTAATTTAGTTCCATTAGCCGCATAATTGGGTTGATCAACTTTGTGTCGGACAGTGTAGAAGCTCGGACACAGCAACTAAGTGCCATTAATTTTGATTTTCGAGGCAATATCAATGTGTTCGTCTAATTAGTGTCGGCCTGTGGCCGGCAGGCCGAAGTCTAAAGCGCCCAAAAGGCTACTTGCCACTTGCCACTTACCACTTGCCACTTACCACTTGCTACTTACCCATTTGCCATTTGCCACTTACCACTAACAACTTGGACTGCTGTAAAATTTTCCAGCCAAATGAGCGCACGTTCTTTACTTTACTTTATTTTTTATTTTTTTGGCTGCGTTTACCTGAATAATGAGTTTTCATGTGCCGCATGCCACATGCCACATGCCCCACATCAAACACGCACACACATGAATATCCCAACTACATCCCAGCCTAGTTAAATGTATGCATTCTGGCTCTGTGGCTGAAGCTGCTGCCAAAGCCGAAAGCTGAAGCTGTGGCTGTGGCTGAGGCTGAGGCTGAGGCTGATGCTGCCACTGAGCCTGAAGCTCGTGCGACAGCCTTCAACGTTTGCTGGCTATTCGGAGGCGTCGTACCGGAAAGAAATGCCATTAAAAACGCAATAAAAATGCAAAAACAACAACAAAATCAAAAAGAAAGAAAAACAACTAAATTGAAAAAAATATAACCAAAATGAAATGAAAGAAAAATGAAAATAAAACATAGAGGGAGGTGAAGAGAGAGAGAGCGAGCACAAAAACATATCAAAAAGTATGTATGTGAGGCTTTGGTAGTATGTCAAAGTGTGTGTGAGTGTGTGTATGTGTGTATGTGGCAGTGGGTTAGTTAGTGTGCGTGCTTAAGACTTCAGTGCAAATAGCCAAGGTGGAAAAATCGATATAAATGAATACGGTAACATTTGGTCGACTCTGAAACACCCAAAAACTCGAGACAGTACAAATGGCAAAATGGTTTTTTCCACATTTTTTTCTTTTTTTTTTGTATTTTGGCCTACCAAAGTCCAACTTGCAAACTTTTGCACGCACAGCAACGCACACAACACAGAAACAACAGCAACACACACACACACACACACCTAAAAGTGGCCACCTACTCACAACACACAAACACACCCATTCACTCCCAGGCTGGCAACCCGCCCACGTCCACATTCACGCCCCATGGGCCGAGTCAGTGGCAGACGTCGCGATTTTAAGCGCAGGCATACAAAACTTGATATAAAAATAAAGTAAAAATATAAACAACAAGCTGAGTATGCTCAATATGAAAATACCCTATAATTCAATTTTGACCTGTGATTCGCATGAAAAGGAAAAGCAATTTCATTAGCCTGATTCAATTTGAGTTTATTTAATCTGTAAAACGAAAATACTACTGTTAAAAATCACAGTGAACTTTGAGTGAGTTCTGCATGTTAACTACTTCTGTTAACATAGCTCAGGTTTTGCTCTGTTAACATTGAGTCCATATCTCTTCGGTGGATGGCGCAGTTAATTAACAGTTTGTAAGAGACTTTCTCAAAATAAACTGTTAAGAATGTAGAGAGCAAGATCAAGGCTGTTAAGCTTATATGTATTATATGTATGTTTGCAGAGACTGACTAAGGCAAGCCTTGAATGTAACATAACAGACAGTATGTGTTTTCAATTTTAGCATAGTTCTTTCATGTACACTAACAGTACAGCTCAATTTTATGTTAATTTTATGTATTTTATGCTAGGTAGCCTAAACACTGAGTTTAACTATCAATTTGTAAGCTTTTGATTTTACCCAATTGGGTATTATGCTCCTAGGGTATAACAGCAACAACGACAACAGCAAATAGCTGTAGCAATGAAGAAAGATTTCATGCTGTAGCTGCAATTTTTGCCTCAGTAAGTATGCTACATATTTTTGAGCACGGGTTAAGTGCCACGCATGAGTGTGTGCACCACATACAAACACACACACACACACACACACACACACACATACACAAATATATATGTAATTTTTTACATATGAGTGCGTGTGTGCGTTTGGGTCTGTGACCCGGCCTAAGAGTCTTCTTCTTTCTCTGGCTTATTTTCAACTTAGACATTTGACATTTCAATTTCGATTGGCCAACAGAAATGATAAAAAATCAAAGCAAAAAAATCGAAAATTATTAAAAAATGTTTTTTTTTTGTTGTTTTTTTGCTTTTGTTGCTGCTTTTACTTTTGTTTTTGCAGCTGCTTCAGCTTTTACTGTCTTATACACATTTTGCCCAATTGTCGTATTGATTTCTAATTACATGCATTTGCCCCAAGGCACTTGGCTTAAGGTAGGGCCACGGGATCGCCAGATATACATATATAAACGTATATATATGTAGCAGTAGGAGTGGCTTAGCCAAATGGTAACAAATTAAAGAGAATGGGGCACATTGTCTACTATTAGTATTTGTTGTGGTGGCGTTGCCATGACGGTGTTTATTGATTTTACTGCTGCCAACGACGGAGAGGCGAGGTGAGGCGAGCCGACGGGGCCAAGTGGCATGCGGCATGTGGCAAGAGCCATCAGGCAACAGCCATGAATCATGTTTGTGTGAGTCTGTGTGCGTTGCGTGTTTAGCAATTTGTGGTTATATTATAATGACCACTTGATTTGCCTGCGCCTTTGGCCTCCTGTCTCCTCTCTCTCTCTCTCTCTGTCTCTCTCTATCCCTCTCACTATTACTAATTGCTTGTGCTGTGCTTGTGCTTGATATATATCAACAGGGAACCGCAGTCGCAGAGGCAACGTCGAGACGCATGTACGCTCAATGCTCAGCGCTGGCTGCTGGCCGAAGTCGTCTAAAACGGCCAACGATCGTGTGAACTGTGCGTATACTTAACTTCCTTTACTGGAGCAGCAGCAGCAGCAGCAACAAGCAGCCACAAAACAAGGAGCAACAACAACAGCAACAACATTTAGTGCGAAAATGTTCACATCAAAGCAACACCAACTGCAGCAAGGACCTCATGGACTGCCGCGCCTGGTACACATTTGCCTGTTATTGCTATCGCTGAGCTGGGCGGCCAATGGCAGCAACATTGTGGAGCCCGAGGAGGCGGCTTTTCAAGGTGCGTATGACAGCTGACAGCCCTCCCTTACGAGCTGTACAATTGTGGAAATTTTGGCAGCATATCAATAAATGAAGGGGCAGACACATGGGCCTACCTTGGCCTGACTGCCTGACTGCCTGACTGTCTGGTTTGGCTTTGACATTAATGAGCGACTTAATTATGCCTTTCACATACACACATAACAATTGTGATTGCGTGTGTGTGTGGGCGTGTGTATAACGCCGTTATGCAATGTTTTTGGCATATTTTCAAGCGCTTTAACGCAACTGCTGCCCACACGCTTTATTACTCCCACTCTACATAACTTACACCCTCACTCTCTCTCTACCTCTCCCTCACCCTCTCTCTCTCTCTCTGTCTCTGTCACTCTGCGTGTGTGTGTGTGTGTGCTGCTGCTGACACTTCGATTTCAATTGCATGCAATATGCGATTTTTCAATTTCAATTTGAATACGCAATGGCAAACGACAAGCTTTACTCTGCTACTCCATCAACTCCGAACAGACGAGACGAGCTGCATAAGGTGGCAACTGAAGAGGGGGGCGTGGCATGGCGCAAACTATTCACATGTGCATTGCAGCTGTGTGTGTGCGTGTGGAAATGCAAATGTGTTGAGTGTCCAGTGCACTTTAATCGCCACCACACAGTTGCTTAATCAACTAGCAATCACACACACCACACACACCTGCACAGCTGTGCGCTTGTGTGTGTGACTTGATGGCTCTTTAAGCGTGTTGTTGCGTGTTCCATTTAATAGAATAGAAGCTAAGCATAGCAGCTGCCAGCATGACGTAAGCTTTTGACAAAGGCCAATAGTGCTTGGCAACCGTTATATGATGCATACATATATATGTATATATATATATATATATATATATGTTATATACTATGGTTATACACACATATCTGTAATATTCATTTGAATACAGCCAGCGTTCAATTAGAGCTGCCCAGATTCAGGCAACAAAAATTCGCCAGCAGCTCGATTCGTGCAATTGCATTTCCACATGAGTAAAGCCAGATATTGGTAGAAACTTTAAACATGTTTTTAATGATTTTTAAAATATGGCACAACATATATGAAAGAACAAGCCTGCTGGCCCAATGTAAATAAATATATTCGTATATTTTCAGCCCAAATTCGGGCATATTAAATATTACCAGCTAAGTGCATGGCTTGCAGTCGCTCAGTTATTTATGCTTATTTGCTGAATGTCCTTCAAAAGTTTTATATTTGGGCTAAAAATGGTTTTTGGGTCAATTGAATTGATTTTAGACTCTGAAGGGACTGACATTGCAGACTTGTTTGGTTCATTAAAGTGGCCCACTTAGTAGCACTTGTTACTCGTTCCACTGTACTGCATATTTAATATGGCTTATATAAGTACAACTCGTTATAGTCTGGTCATCGCTTGAAGTGCTACAATTAATGAACACATGAAGTTAGCTTGCATTGTAGTAGAGCCTTTGTTATACTTAACTTGGTAAACAGTTTTCTACTCTTCTACTCGTTACTCGTTATAGCTTACTTGCTACTCCTCACTCTATGCATTTCACTTTGAGTAACTTGGACGTATGCTTATTGAGCTCGTTAGCTCGCCCCTTGACTCGCTACACTCGACTCGCTACACTCGACTCGCTACACTCGACTCGCTACAGTCGACTCGCTACACTCGACTCGCTACACTCGACTCGCTACACTCGACTCGCTACACTCGACTCGCTACACTCGACTCGCTACACTCGACTCGCTACACTCGACTCGCTACACTCGACTCGCTACAATCGACTCGCTACATTCCACTCGCTATACTCGACTCGTTATGCTTTCTTCACTTTGTGTCCATTCGTTACTCGCTAGACATAAACGGCAATTGGCTTAACTTGAATCGTCACTCGTTATTTTTGTTATTCATAGCGTACATTCGCTACTCGTCACATTTAGTTCGCTATTTGTTGCGTTCCTTGCCATTCACTAAACATAAGCCCTCTCAGACTTGTCTTCTTGCCTTATAGACAGCCTATAGCTTATCCGTTACTCTGCTCTACACTACTCTGCATGACACAATCGTTCAGCGTTCAGCGTTCAGCGCTCATCGAGTACTTAAGCTACTCGTTACACTTAACCCGCTATTCGTTACACTTGAGCCAGGTCTAATGTGTCTCTCAGACTTGCCTAAAAGCTGGCCTGTTTTACTTCCTGTCTTTTGATGTCAAGTGAATGGCTGCTGGAAGCCAACATCAAAGCTAGAGAAAGCTTAGCTCTGCTCCGTTTTACTTAACTCCAGTTCACTTCACTTCACTTCACTTCAACTTTACTTTACTTTGATTGGCTCAGCTCAAACACCATTTGCGCGTTTGGCTCGGTTGGGTGGGGCTTTTGTGCTGCATAAAATTCCATTGCATACTTTTGAGAGCGTGCGAGCATTTGCATTTGAAATTGGGGCCAGATCCATATTGAAAATTGGAACGAGCAGCAACTGCATATGGGAAATGGACGCGCTTTTGGCACAAAGCCAAAAAGGTGTGTGTGTGCGAGTGGGCGTGTATCTGAAATGTGGGCAGTAAATTACCAAACATGAGTCTGGCTCTAAGTCCGTAAAGCTCATTAGAATTTATTGCGGACACGTCGGTCACACCCAGACGCCATGGCCAGGGGACACGCACGTCTGTTGATGTGAGCCAAAATTATGAACTCGACTCGAAATTAAAATGAACAGCGAAAGAGTGAGAGGGAGGGAGGGAGGTAGAGCACAACACTTAACAATTTGTTTTGTTCACTTTGGCTTCTGTTTAGGTCACTGCGGTCATACGAGTCCCTGCGAGCAGCTCTGCTATGAGATACACGATGGGATGTACGAGTGCGACTGCATCGAGGGCTACGAGCTGAACAAGAATGGCTATAGCTGTCAAGGTGAGTGGCAATGAATATTACTCAAACTCATTTGATTTTGATTTGATTTCATTTGTCTTGATTTGATTCGCGTTGCTTTACAGTGATAAACACGACGAACAGCGGCCAGGAAGGACATGGCAAGTCGGATGAGGATGTGCTCTATCAGAAGGGCGCATCGTTTAGTGCGAAGCTGGCCAATGCAGCGGCGGCGGCAGCAACCGCTGAAGTTGATGCCGGGCAAGCGGATGTGGCTGATGCGGATGCGGATGCGGATGCCAACGGGGATGGGGATGCGAATAGCGAATATGATTACAACGATGAGAATTTAGATGGCATGCGGGAACAGAAAGTCAATTCAAACGATTATTACATATCAGCGGAGAGCATTAGCTTCAACGAGAATCAAGAGCTTGATGCGGCCGACTTTAAGGTGGCAACCACAGCGGGCACAGCCACAAAACTAACTAAGTCGACCAAAGCCACACCAACAACAACAACATCGACAACGACAACCACCGCAAAAGCAACAATTGAGCGCGGCAACGTGGCGAACAAAGCCAACGGACAACGCAATGTTATGGATTATGGCTTGTCCGATGTGGACGGCGATGTCGATGAGTATTATAGCTATAAAGCGGACATGTCCATCTATGACGATGTCAACAATAATCAATTAAATTTAAGACGCAACAGCAACAGCAACAGCAACAGCAATTCGCATACATATCAACAGACTAGCAACAACAACAAGAACAACAACAACTTAAACAACGACCACTTCAAAGTCGCAATGCATATCAACAATAATAAGCATGCTGCCAATAGCAACATATCACTTAAGACAACAACAACAACAACAACATCAACAACTACAACAGCAGCAGCTCCAGCAGCAGCCCTCAGCAGGTGAGCAAATGTTGAGCGACTGTCAACGACTGCGTCATACGCGCTCGCAGTTCGTTATCTGTTTAATGCCTAGATATCATATGAAATATGTAATATGTGTAACTGATATCAAGAGTAGAGTAGTTAATAATGTTAGTTATATATTTTTAGTTTTCTTAAGCTGCTCATAAATTATATTTTTATGACTGCTGCCTGAATTCTATGAAATCTTGGCTTAAGATTCGATTTGATTGGCTTTGTAAACTTAATTTTCTTTATTCAGTTTTTGATCTGATTGATTTCCTGCTGGCATATAGAGCAGTGTTAAGGCTGTAGAACAGCTCAATTCGTAGTCTCAATGTTAAGTCTCAAGCGCGAGTTGCTAGACTCGCATTTCATGCAAGCAATATGCTCCTTTCAGCTTGCGAGCGAGCATATAACTAATCTAATCTATTGAGAGTGCAATTATAATTTTGTAGCCCTGCTTCACTGTCTAAGCGATGGCATTACTCAATAGCATTTGCCATTGTGAGTGAGCCGAGTGCACAATGATACTTGATATGTATTTAATTGTCGCTGCTCGATGCCATCGTTCGAATCGAATTTCAATCTGCCACTGTTGCGTGAAACTCTGTCATAATTGAAGCTTCTTGACTTGCTCAAAGAACTTTTTGGTAATGAATACATTGAAGAGTTGAATATTGAATACCTTTGTTGCAAATATTATTCTTATATTTAAATAATTATTTTTTTATAATTTTAAAATGAAAGCTGAAGCCAGAAGTTTTTAATTTACAGCAAATGTTACAAATAGAAAAATAAATTAAATGACTTTGATAAAGTATCAAAAAATTATTTATTATTTTTATTTTTATTATTTTATATAATATTTATTTAAAGCTTTAACATTTCTGTAGGTTTTAAACTTTTTTTGTAAACCTTTTAATTAAATATTATTTGCTTGTTTGTTATTCTTATTATTATTATTAAATAAATCTATCATATCAAAAATATAAAATTTATAAATAACATTAGCATCTTTGGCAGTCAGCTCAGTTAGCCAGTCTAAAGGCTATGCGCATCAACAAACTCACGAAATATTAAGCAAAATATTGTTTATAGCAGAGCTGCTTAAAGCTTAATTAGCTGCTCAATCTATATTACGTGAAACACCTAAATGTCTACAAGAAATTTTATAAATCCTATTTACAGCACGCTTTGCAATCTGGACTGTGGCTCGGAGGGAATTTGTGCTCTGGAGGCGACGGCGTCCACAGCTCGCTGTTTGTGCCCATTTGGCAAAACGGGCGAAAGTTGCCTTGAAGGTATGTGTGTGTGTGTGAGTGGGCACGTGTGTGTGCGGGCCATTTAATGGCCATGTTACCTGCATTTTTATAGTTAGCTAATGGTTAATCTCTTGCACAGATATCAGGGCGCACGTGCCACGCTTTGCCAAACGCTCCTGGCTGGCATTTGCGGCACTCCATGGCGCCTATAAGCATGTACAGCTGAGGCTGGAATTCCGTCCAGAATCCTTTGATGGTATCATATTGTTGAGCGGGGAGCGGGATGATCTAACTGGCGATTTTATGGCCCTGCTACTGAACAAGGGCTTTGTCGAGTTCTGGTTCGATTGCGGCTCCGGCGTGGGCAGCGTTCGATCCAGAGAGACCATCATGTTGAACGAATGGAACTCGGTGATTATCTACCGCCATCGCTGGGATGCCTGGCTGGTGCTCAATCATGGCACCAAAGTCCAGGGCAGATCGAATGTAAGTGTTCAACTCAACTATTAGAGAACAGTGGGAAATAGTCTAATGTGCTCCATTTGGCAGGGTCTCTTCTCGCGCATTACCTTCCGCGAACCGGTCTTTCTGGGCGGCATTGGCAACATAACGGGACTGGCCAAGCGCCTGCCATTGGCTGAGGGCTTTGCCGGCTGCATACGTCGCTTCGTGGCCAACGAGCACGACTACAAGTTCACGGAGCATCCACTGGGCGATGTCATCAATGGCTTTGATATACGTAAGTTACATCCATTATTGATTATCAATAACTAATGTATGTGTTCTGCTCATCTTCCAGAGGACTGCTCGACGGACAAGTGCGTGCGTTATCCTTGCCAGCATGGCGGCAAGTGCTTGCCCTCGGATCAGGGTGCTGTTTGCCTGTGCCCCATTGGCTTTGTCGGTGATTTGTGTGAGATACGCATGGACTTGCAGGTGAGCGCCATTGAAATGCCTTTATTACACCTGCTCTACATAGTAATGCTTTGTCATTCATTTGCTGTCCAGGTGCCCGCATTCAACGGATCCTCTTTTCTGCGCTATGCTCCGCTGGGGGACAGCGCTTTGATCTGGCTGGAGCTGAAGGTTATATTGAAGCCGGAGCAGGCGGATGGTCTGATACTTTATTCTGGACCGGAGCAGCGCGGCGATTTCATAGCTTTGTATTTGCACGACGGCTTTGTGGAGTTTGCCTTTGATTTGGGCAGCGGCCCAGCTGTGGTGCGGTAAGTAGTCCACCTATAGGAAGGGGTGGCTAGCAACTACAGTCACATTTATCTAACTCACTTTTCAATTAGCAGCAGTGAACACTCGCTTAGCCTGGGTCAATGGCACACCATCAAGATCTCAAGAACCGCACGCCTTGCCGTGCTCAAGGTAAGCCTGAAGCAAGCCTTGAACTTGGCCTCCAAGCTGAACTGTTTCCCCTCTCTTTTGTCCATGCATAGATCGATCAGCATCAGGAGGTCATGACCATATCGTCGAATGGCTTCTGGCATCTGTCACTGGCGCAGAATCTGTTTGTGGGCGGCGTCAATCACGTGGACCGCCTACCATTGGATCTCAAGTACAAGTCCTTCTTTGTGGGCTGCATTCAGCGCGTAAGTTTCTCATAGGTTAAGCTATCGAGCGGCTGGCAATAACCAGACAATTTGCACCCCAGATTGACATCAATGGCCACTCGCTGGGCATTGTGGCCGAAGCACTGGGCGGCAGCAACATTGGCAACTGCCCACATGCTTGTGTGGCCCGCCCCTGCGGACCGCTGGCCGAGTGTGTGCCACAAATGGAGAGCTACGAGTGTCGTTGCAGCATCTACAACGAGCGCTGCAATAAGGCAGCTGAAGTGCCACCCGAGCAGCTGCCGGAGCTGATGCTACACAAGCAGCACAATGCCCAAGCACTTGAAGCCAAACAACACAAAGGAGTTGAGTCTAAGAAATTGTGGGCGCACAAGAAGCATTCGACAAAACGCAAGAATTTGCATAAGCACAAGACCACACCTGCAACCACCACCAGCACCACTTCAACCACAACCACCACCACAACGACAACGACTACAGTCAAGCCACCCACACCAACAGCAGCTGCAGCGGGTGGTGCGCCCAGCAATGAGGAAATCGAAGATGATATCATTTTTCGCTTTGTACACGAGAACGCCGCAAAGGCGCCCAGCCCCATTGTGCGGCTACAGCAGGCTCCACTCGTGGGCAAACAGCATGTGAGCAAGCATGAGCATCACCAGAAGCCGAACACCTTTGCGCGCAAACTTAGCCGCCTGCCCACACACTACGAAAGTTTCCAAACTAATCCGGACAGCGATATACTTACATTCGATGATAACAACGATTGGGTGGCCAGCATGCAGCAGCAGGAGTATGCGGATGCCATGGCAACCAGTCAAGTTGGCCAGACAGCGGCAGCCAGCTCAGCGGAAGGTGATGTGGCCAATGTGGATGCGGAAGCGGATGTCGATGCGAGTGGTTTTGTTTTCGATGAGTCACTGTTTGATGCCAACGACGGCGCGGAGGATTATCAACGCAAGCAGCTTGCCCAGGACATGAAGCGCATCATGTCCAATACACACACGCACATGCACACGCAGAAAAAGGAAAACCAACAGCAGCAGCTGCAACAACAACAAAAACAACAGCTGCCACCCGTGGAGCCGCAGTACAGTGAAGATTACAGCGACGATGAGCTGTTAACACCCGTGCTCAAGTCTGAGCCGGCGGCTCCAGCTGCTGTCCTTAGCACACCTCAAACGCACACCGATTGGAGTCTACTCAAGAAATTCGATTTGTCCGCGGAGCATCAGTCACAGGTGCAGAGCGTACGCAAGAACTTTGGTGCCTGTTTTGCCGGCACCGACAGCTATTTCCACTACAACGATGCGGACACCATGAGCCAGGTCATCAGCTACAACATCGATCTCAATCTGCGCATCAAGACGCACTCGGAGAACGGCGTGATACTATGGACCGGCAGGCAGGGCACAACGGAGGAGCACGATGACTACTTGTCGCTGGGAATTGAAAACGGGTGAGTAGAGAAGAGGAAGAGCTGAGAGCAAGAATGAGCACATGTGTATGTGTTTGTGCGTAGAGAAGAGGAAGAGCAGAAAGCAAAAATGAGCGAATGTGTATGTGTATGTGCATGTGTAGATCGTATGTGTGTGAGAGTCTCTTTATGGAAGCAAAGCACTCGAGGCAAAGCACTCAAACTTCTTGCCTGCCGATCGAGTGCAAAAACTGAGTCAAAACTCAACATTGAGAATGTGCTCAATTTTACGCGGGACTTTTGCCTATATAAAGGCGAGTCTAGGCAGACTGCCTTCAGTCGTGTGCCAGGCCAGGTGGTGGTCAGTCGTGCTAAAGTGAAGTGCTCTAGTAGTTTGTTTAGTAATTATTTAAATATTGTATATTGTTAATAATAGTTTTTAAGAATTCTTAATGTTATTGTAAAAAAGATTTTGTTAATAATAATATTGTTAATAATACTATTGTTAATAATACTATTGTTAATAATACTATTGTTAATAATAATATTGTTAATAATACTATTGTTAATAATACTATTGTTAATAATAATAATAATATTGTTAATAATAAGTAAATAATATTGTTTTGTTAATAATATTAATTTTAATAATATAAAAAAATGATGTTAATGATATTATTTTGTTAAGAGCATTAACATAATTTAACATGTTAATGCTGTTGTGTTAATGCTCTTATGTTAGAGATCTTATGTTAAGCTCTTATGTTAAGCTCTTATGTTAAGCTCATAGGTTAGAACTCATAGATTAGAACTGTTATGTTAGAGCTCATATGTTAGAGCTCATATGTTAGAGCTCATATGTTAGAGCTCATATGTTAGAGCTCATATGTTAGAGCTCATATGTTAGAGCTCATATGTTACAGCTTATATGTTACAGCTTATATGTTACAGCTTATATGTTAATGCATTTATGTTAAAGTCTTGAGAGCTAGAAATGACAGAGTGCTAATCATTATAATAATTTGTAATATATAATATATCTTGTTTGTGATATATATTTATTGCTCTTTCTGTTCCACAGATATTTGCATTTCCGCTATGATTTGGGCGCTGGGGAACTGGATATACGCTTCAATGGCACCAAAGTGAGCGATGGACTGTGGCATCGTGTCAGAGCTATACGGTAAGCTTAACAGAAATACATCACTTAGGATAAGAAATATGTTCGTCTAGCATTAAGCAGACCTGTTAAATTGTGTTAAGTATAAGTAATTCTCTCAGCATTTAAATTTGTGATTTATATACCTGTAAGAGTCTTAGGAATAAAAATGTTTTTTCTAACTTTCACATTATCTTTGGCAGAAATTCCCAGGAAGGTTACTTAGAAGTGGATGGACGTAAAACCCAGACACTGCGTACGCCGGGCAAGCTGCGACAACTGAACACCGACACCGGACTCTATGTTGGTAAGTGTTTGACGTGCTTTATTCTCAGTAATAACTGTAACTAATATGACTATGTTAATTTCGTCCGCTTTTAGGTGGAATGCCTGATGTGGCATACTTTACGCACCAGCGCTACTTGAGTGGAATCATTGGTTGCATATCGGAGATCGTCTTGGCTGGCGAGAAATTAAACTTTGATCCAAATACGTTGGGCACAGCGCACAACGTGGAGACGGGCCTACTATGAAACGCTGCACTTACATAAGCCTCAAGACTTTTGATACATATATCAAATAGTTTAAATGTTATTATTTAATTAACGAAATGTTTACAAATATGTCTATTTCGTTTGTGTTTGTACAAAGACGCTTTTAAAATCAACTGAGAAAGAGAGGATTGAGGAAGGCAGAGAAAGAAACAAAGGGAAAGAGAGCGAGAGAGAAGTGTTTTCTAGTTGGGAAAATTTTTTTACGCCATGAGATGAGCTGAGAAGTAACTAAAGTAAATATAGTAAACCATACTACATATAATATATAGTGCATACAAAACATAATGATTATATACAAATGCATACATATAAATATATATATATATGAATATATATATATATATATAACAAACAAAAAACCAAAAAAGGCATGCTTCATATAGCCTGTGACTGTCAATACTTCAGAATGGAATAGTTTATATATAACTTTAGCAAAAGATTTATAAAATGAGAACTATGCGTAAAATACTTTGCAAAATATTGTATGTAGAAAATGAGCAAAAAAAAAAGGAAAACAAAGCGGAAGCAGAAGAGTTTGCACATGTTTTATGTCCATTTTGAGCGCTTTGATTTAAGTGAACGTTACGCTTTGTGTGCAGAGTTGCCACCTTTTTGTAAAAGATAAACACACACACACACACACACACACACACACAAACTCAACTACTACATAACTAAACACACGGATACACATGCATATTGGCAATACTTTCGTTTTTCGCATTGCTGTACCTTATCAAAAGAAATGAAACAAAAACAAATACAAAAACTATAACTGTACATTCTGTACTTCTTGGAAGTTCTATAACTGTATTAAGCAACACAAATGCAAACGTTAACGTCGAGTCGAAGCAGCGTAAACATACTTATTAATTGGTAAGTTAATAAATGTGTAGCGTGTATTAGCTTGTAAGTTGGCACACACACACACACACACACACACACACACACACACACACACACACACATACATACACATACATACACATACACATATACATATACACATAAACTCACACCAACACAGACACGCACACATTAAGCCTGCCTATGTAAACTTTTATATTAACGAAAAATACACCAAAGAAAAAAAACAACATACGTACGCTATGCAAACATTACACAACACTTGACACACACACACAGTCACACTCATACACTCATGCAAACACAACGCGCTGAACCAGAATTGAAATATGTGAGCGATTTTTAACAATTTATTAACTACAATACAACAGACAACAACAACAAGAACAACTAGCTAAAAGATAACATGAAAAACAAATTTAAGCAATTTAACAATCCCATAGCGAAATTTTTAAATGCTAACAACCAAAACAATTGCAAATACATAAAAGCAAAAAGATAAAAGTTTGTATTCATCTTATGAATATGATTTTGTAGCTTAATGATAACAACTACATACGTAGCTATATATAAAGATAAATATATATATATATATAAACAAACAAAAACATATGCGTATATATATACAGAAATATATATATATATATATATATATAAATGAGAAACTATAGTGAAAACGAAAAGAAAACAAGCGTAAAATGAATAAAGAAATCACAACCACCAATCAATGTAAAACTAAATTAAACGACATTCAATGTAGCTTATTTATAATATGCAAGAACGAGAAGCATTGAGATATTTAATTTCGTACATTGGTTTGCAGAAAATAAAAATATAAAAGAAAAACGATTCTTAAAAATATTGTTTGCTTTTCAAATTTAAATCAAATCGAGTTGGCGCGCAGTCTGCTTACAGTGCTGTAAAATATAGACCTAATTAAATAGGTTGGCAGCACCACTTTGTGTGTGACGTCATTATAGCCTGGGCAGTATTGACAAGCTGTATGGCGGCAACGAATTGTATCGTAACGTAAGTATTGAATTCACGCCGAAAAGCTCTGATTAGATTGATAGGTGTTTGTGCCTAATATAACTGCAATTCATTTTATTTGGTTATAAATTATTTTATTGTATGGCTAGTGACTTGTCACTAAATACCGGTTACTTGACTGACTAGTGCAACGAGTTGGCAGCCTTACTTTGACAACAACATATAACTCACAATAATGGTAAGCAGTTCCACTCACTTTTTTATTGTTGCAAATAATAAAACAAATATTTTTTATTCAATAATTCAACAAAGCACTAGATTGCAGCAGCTGATTGAATTGTAGCGCAGGTGTCACCAGCCACAACAGACACCCATCGAAACAACAGCACCATCATTAGCGACATCAACAACAACAACAAAAACAACAACAACATCAGCTGTACAAACATTAATTTAAGACAAATTCGGGGTGGGGGGCTGACGACTGACTACGGAAGACGGTCGCCTAAAATACACGGAAGTGTTTTCTTGTTAGAAACTCGATTGAAAATCACCTTCGGTGCGTATTGAGCCATGGCCGATGCTGGTGGCATGCCCGAAAATGCGGCCGAAATAGCTGTAGCAAATGCAATCAATAACATCAACGGCCGCAATCGTGTGCTCGCTGGCGGCGTGGTAGCAGGCGGTGTAGGAGTAGGAGGAGGTGTTGGCCAAGTAAGAACGGAGACACACACACGCACTCACACACATACAATACTTATCTTTAACAATTTATAGAATAACATGATGAACATGCGGGATCGCCTTTTTCATGCCATTTACTTTCGTGTTGCGGCCACCTATGCAGAGCTAGTGCCGCGGTAAGTGAAATGACAGTTATAGCTTGAGATTCCGCATAATTGAAGAAACTCTCCTCCATTGCAGCAAGGTACAACTGGCAATTGAGTTCTTGCTACTGCTGAAGGCTTTGGTGTTCTTCTTCACCTTGGTGTACATACATACGGCATTTATAAAGAATCCCTGCACCTGCCTGCAGGATGTACAGAACTGGCCACGCGATGGCGTTATACGAGTGGAAATAATACCACACTTGACCGAGAAACGCGCCATATGGCAGCGCATTAAAACCGATCAGCAGCTGGTGCTGGCACTCAAGCATACTTAGTAAGAAATGCCCTAATATAACCAGATTGAATCCCACTGACTGTTTGACTTGCAGCCACTACGGCGTCGGACCGCAAACACTGGACAATCACAACAGGCTGAAGCGCTACGAGACGATATTGCGCAAACTGGGCTTGCCGGTGCGTCCCAATTTCGCCTATGGCAACGAGAGCTTGTACTATTATTTCGATGCCATCAATATACTGGATAGTTACGATCATCCCAGCGCAATACCGATCAAGGCTGACGACGATGATGGTAGATGCATTAACTATCTAAATCTGTATTTCATAAATAATCCAATAATAATTGTCTTGCAGATGAGCAATACATAGTTGAGTATTCGCTGGAATATGGACACCTGCGTCTGTCGGCAGACACGCGCAAGAGATTGAACATACCCGTGCTGACTGTGCAGCTGGATCCGAATACAAATGCCTGCTTTGGGGATAGACTGACTCGCTACCTGCTCAAGCGTTTGCTGGGGTAATTCTGAACAGATCTGAAGTGAAATCTTTTAATTAACTTATTTTCTCCGATTGCTAGCTATGATGATTTGCTAATGGCTTCGGTGCGCACTGTTGCCGAGAAGGAGGACAACAAGGGCTATCTGCGCAACGTGATCACCGGCGAGCATTATCGCTTTGTGTCCATGTGGTGGGCTGCCTGGAGCAGCTATCCAGCCGCATTCATTGTCATGCTGCTATTTGTACGTCGCACTGATATGCTTATCTATATATATGTATTTGCATATTAACATTGTTAACTCTTTGCAGACGTTTTCAGTGTCCATGCTGCTGCGCTACTCGCATCATCAGATCTTTGTGTTTATAGGTAGCTAGATAATAATTCCTTGTACGATTAATATAAACAAATTTGTTCACTTTCGCAGTAGATCTGCTGCAAATGCTGGAGTACAATGTGTCGGCACGTTTCCCCATCGCGCCCCTATTGACGGTCATACTGGCGCTAGTAGGTGTGCATAAATACCTGGCAAATGCTCTGTTCGTTTTGTTGAACTAATTTCTGTTGAATTTTCGCAGGCATGGAAGCGATTATGTCGGAGTTCTTCAATGACACAACAACTGCTTTCTACATAATATTGATTGTCTGGATCGCGGATCAATTTGATGCCATCTGCTGTCACACGAGCATTACGAAACGCCATTGGCTCAGGTGCGTAGTAGACCGAGAGACAGACAGCTGTTGCTGCAACAGTTTTTCTGATTATACTCCTCTTTTTTTCTTTTGTTGTTTGTGCAATCGTCTGTGCGCCAGAACAAATGACAAATTCAATTACATTAAGTCGCAATCCTTTGCTGTCCGGTCTATGTCCGGCTGCTGGCTTCGGACTAACCTGACCTGAACTGAGCTGAGCTGTGCTGTGCTGTGCTGCGGTGTGCTGAGCTGAGCTGAGCTATCCCCCTCAGCACTTAACAGTTCATTTCGTTTTGTTCGCATATTTTCTTTTCTTTTCACTCTATGTCCAGGGCGTATTTCACACTCAACGTTCGTTGCGTTGCGTTTCGTTTCGTTTGGTTTGGTTGTTATTTGAAAATTAACTTGGCTTGCGCAAGCCTCCCCCGGGGCCAAAGCAAATCGACCAACACAACACCAAAGTCCCTCCGCCGGCACACACAGAGAACACAGAATTTCATCACTTAAGTCAACAAGCGTAACCCAAGCCCCAAACCCAAACCAAAGGCCCCAGACCCCAGACCCCAAACCTCAACTGGGCCGCGCCATTAGCAAACATTTAAATAAACTTGTTTGTAATAGCTGCGAACACAAAATGGAATAAGTGAAAACCTACGGAAAAAAGTGTATAGAAGTGGGCAGCCGTGCAGCCGTGCAGCCGGGCAGCTCCTATAAACATTAATGACCACGCACGTCATACAAAACTCAATCGGGCCGAGCAGCGAAAAGTGGACTCAACTCTAAAACCGTTTACACCCTTTGCTCGTCTCATTTTATTTTATCAATCTTTTTTTTCTGGCCTCGTCTGGTTTCGTGAAATGTGGTTGGGCCGGGCTACTTTGCGGTTTATTGCGCGCACTTTGCATAATTGAGCGGCGAACAGCTAGGAAATTATTTTGGAAAATCTCTTATGGGTCCGCAGTCCACTCCCCCCAGCAGCGGCGGCAACAAGATTTTTCAAACATTCCGTCCATCAATAATTCAAAAAGACACTCGACTATTCCCTTTATTCGACTCGCTGTGTCTCCCCCGCTCCCTCTCTCTGTCAGCCTGTTTGCCGCTTGCTGTTTATGAGCGGAGCTCCATTAGAAATTCATGCGCTGGCATTTACCAATCACTATTCACTGAGCTCCTCTCCTCGTCTCGTTCTACAATTTTGGTGTTGATTTTGCGTAATTTGCGCCTGAATTAAAAGGCCATCAATGTGGAGCATGGTCCGAGCAGCTGCCGTATTTATATTCATTAAACATTCATTGCCGCAAAATGTGCCCCTGCCACGCCCAGTTGCGCCCAATATTAGCTGTTTATTGCGGCGTTTAAGCGTGCTTCAAGGATTTCCCATTCAGCCCCATCCCAGCTATGCAAGCAGACGCGTGCAGCGTCTTGCAGGTGTTGGCCTTGCACTGCGCTGAGAAAACGTCCATTAAGCTATAATTGAATATCGTATATCGTAGTGCTCGTATTTCCTACGCCCTCACCATTCTTTGCTAATATAGAAAGTCAGTTTAACCTGCGTATTAACTTTCCTCCTGCGCTACTCTTTGTTCCCTGTGCATTGTGACTGTTGCTCGTTTAGCTTGCTTTAAATATATATTCTTAAAAATATCTAATTACACTTTGCTATCTGTAACATTAAATCATTAACTTATTCGCATTGCGCTTTAATATTTACCTTTGAAGCGCTTGGTGCATTTACCTTTAACTAAGGTAATTTGTCCTTGAAACTGCCTTGAAACTGCCTTGGATCTGCCTTGAATCTGCCTTGAAACTGCCTTGAAACTGCCTTGAATCTGCCTTGGATTCGTCTTGAATCTGCCTTGGATCTGCCTTGGATCTGCCATGTGAAGCTACAGCAAACATTGGTCTGTGTCTCCTTGTACCTTGTCGCTCTAAATTCGTGTTATAGTATCTCTAACCTATCTCTCTCTTCTTCTGGTCTTCTCTCTCTACTCTCTACTCTCTACTCTCTACTCTCTACTCTCTACTCTCTACTCTCTACTCTCTACTCTCTACTCTCTACTCTCTACTCTCTACTCTCTACTCTCTACTCTCTACTCTCTACTCTCTACTCTCTACTCTCTACTCTCTACTCTCTACTCTCTACTCTCTACTCTCTACTCTCTACTCTCTACTCTCTACTCTCTACTCTCTACTCTCTACTCTCTACTCTCTACTCTCTACTCTCTACTCTCTACTCTCTACTCTCTACTCTCTACTCTCTACTCTCTACTCTCTACTCTCTACTCTCTACTCTCTACTCTCTACTCTCTACTCTCTACTCTCTACTCTCTACTCTCTACTCTCTACTCTCTACTCTCTACTCTCTACTCTCTACTCTCTACTCTCTACTCTCTACTCTCTACTCTCTACTCTCTACTCTCTACTCTCTACTCTCTACTCTCTACTCTCTACTCTCTACTCTCTAAATATCGCCTTTCTATGTGATTCACCTAAAATCAAATGATGCCCACAGCTTTTATTGTTCCGTAGTCAGACAACATTGTCAAATTTGTAGTTTTAAATTGACTTTTTTGCTGTTGCTTCTAAACCTTTCCTGCTCAGCGATTAGATTTCATTAATTTATTATTTCGTTTTCATTTGATTTCGTTTTCGATTCCGATTTCGATTTGGTTTTGGATTTAGCTGCGGCTTTGATTACCACATTCAGCTGTCATTTGTGTTTCTAATTAAATGTGGATAATAATGGATAATTAGGTAGAAAAATCTGTACTGAATTATTTAAATTACATTTCGAGATAATATCGATTTCAGCAGCCGTTCAGATTCGCTTTGCCCCAGCTCCGCCGTCTGCCTTGGGGGCCTTTTACATGGAATCAAAGCAATCAGAGATGTTTAGATATTAGGCAGAAGTTTTGGCCCTCTGCTCTTGCTGCTTGAGTATTTTATATGTAACATATATATATATACATATATTCATATTCATATTCATATCTATGTGTATGTGTTTAGCTATTGAAATGCGCATTTTCGTCGCAGGGCAGGGAATTAGCTACACGCGCACACATGAGATGCATTTGCAAAGGCTAAAAGTAGCTAAAGGATATCCATTGAAGCAGCCCGGTCGAGGCATATGCAGATTGTTGTCCTGTGCCACGCCCACGCGCCCCCACTTCGTCGGCAGTAGCACAAGTAAAAATTAATTTTGTAAAAAGTCAAAACATATTGGCTGAGCTCATCATGCATGTACCCACACACACACACACACACACACACACACACACACACACACACATCCTGTTTGTTTGCTTCTGTGTGTGTGTGTACTTTGGTACGGTTTAATTTTGCTGTTATTGACCGCCCGAAGCAATCGAAGGGGGTTTCCACTTTAGACCTTTTGCCTTTTTACTTCCTGCTTCTTGCTGCTGCGGTTATGGGTTATGGCAAAGCGTAAAAGGGAGAGAGCTGGGGTGATGCCTATGTGAGAGAGTGAGAGAGCTGCATGGAGCTTCAAGCAAGCCTCAGCTACAGTTTGTGCTGCCATTTGGTAGCCCGTTTGCGGCTAGCTGCGATTGAAGTTCGCTTTAAAGCTAAGGATATTCGCCAGCTGCGTTAATTAGCCCGCCTTAGAGAGTTGCAAGCGTTGCAGCAGCAGCAGCATGCAACAGCTCGCAACAGCTTGCGGGCAGCTGCTCGCTACTAGGGTAGGAAATCAGGTATTTACGCCCTAATTGACTACCGTCAGCGACTTTAAAGTGGCATCAAAGCAACTCGTTTGCGGCACGCTTAAAAATAATTCTGTTAATCGCCGTTTAACGAGCAGGCGCCAAAATATATAGACGAGCATAATTTGGCACCCCTTTGGCAGCCCACCTTTGAGCCCAGCCAGCCGTCTTCGCGCCCCCTGGTCTGACTTTTGCCCTGCGGCTTTCAGTGCCGCGTAATGCTGCTTTTGTGCTTAAATCTGGTTGCCACGGCACGGGGCAGACGACACGTATTAAATGAGCTGCAAAAGTGTACAAAAAAGGCAGAAGGCGACGTCTTGCGCAGATTGACGGACAGACGAACCGAAGGATGGACGGACAGGCAGATAGACGGACGGTCGGACTTCAGAGAATTGCGTGGTATTGGCGGCTTCAAAGAGCAAATTGTAACAAGACAGCAGCAGCAGAAGGGCTGCTTTTTGGCTGGGTTCAGGTTCGGGTTCGCGTTCGAGTTCTGAGTTCGGGACAAATTTGTAACAGTCGCGCGTTTCAAGTAGCTGCGAAGGACACACCGTCATCCCACTCTCTTAGCTCCAGCTCCAACTTGGCGCGCCTTTTGCTGTTGTTTACACGCTTGTTATGCGTACCTACTTACAAATACACACACACACACACATACACATCTATACCTATATATATATTTATATATGTACATATTTATGCCATAAGTATATATGGATCTGTTTGCTTGTTAAACCCAATGAGCCTGCTTCCTACTTTGGCGTCCTTTTACCCTGTTCGCGCGCATTTAGCCAGAACGTCAACGTCAACGTCAGCGTCGTTGAAGGCATTGGAAACCATTGGCAGCGTAGCCCCACCCCTCAAACCTTCACTTCACCCTTAACCTTACCTTTTGGCCCCTCTCACCTTATGTTCAGTCCTTGTTTTTCGTGTTGATTGAGATCATGTTACGCAAAGTATAATTGCGTCAAGTTTGTTTTGCTGCCATAACTTTTGTCCGCGAGCCAACGCCTCGAACCGAATGCCAGGGGCACTGAAGTGGCCTGCCCTGGCCTGGCCTGGCTTGGCCTCTTGCTACGCATATCCTTTGGCCTCTCAACCCCTGCCACTCCACCAGGCCGTGCTCTGCTCTTGTTGTTCAAAGGTGCAGCTGATGAGTGTTCGTAACGAGGCGAAATCGCTTCATTGTTATACGCGTTATAGTTTCAGCTTGTTTGCTTTGAGTGTTGCTGTTATTGTTGCAGTTTTTCCTCCTCTTTTTCAGTTGTTGTCATTTTTTGCGCTCTTTTGTTTTGT